TATTTTGAAAGTGGCATAAGTCACTTTGTTTTTAAGTCGATATAAGTCGATGTTTGCGTTTTAACACGTTTAAAAATATGGATGCTAACTTTCGAGAAGATTTACTTGTATTTGTTATCTCAGGATACTGATATTTTTCTCAGTATAAATAATTTCGTATAAACATTAAAAAATCACCACTTTTCATTACGGTAAAGTGACTTATGCCACTTTCAAAATAAACGACTCAATTATTGAGATTCTCTTACGCATAATAAAAAAGTTAAAAAGCCTATTGACAGGCTTGTGGTAAATAAACTATTAAACTAGATCTAAAGTGTTGGATCGATAAGAATGTTTACCTTCGGTATCGAAACGGTACTATTTTGTTAAAGCATCACGAGTTCCCACAAATTTAGACGGTTTGGACGCACGCTATTGCCGAGGATAATGACACATTCAATTGTGAACATCTTTCTCTCATCATTTCCGGTAATTTATCACGCAGCAGGATGTTTGCCGTGGCAATCCGGAAATAAAGTAAACCTATCGACAAGGCCGACGTTATTCATAATATTTCGTCTCTCTTTCAGAATTGATGGCACGCGTCGATTCTTGTTTCAAGGTTAACTTTTTCTCTGTCACACCAGCCCATTCTTTAGTTAACTAATATCTCGACAATCGTTTCAATAATCGCGGATCTTTATATAAATTCCCATTTTCATCGTTTATTCGATACAAACCATGTTCTTGAGTGTAGAAAACCTTCTTAAGACACGATACATTTTGTATTCTTTTGCCAAATATTATTTCGTAATCTTAGTTCTTTTTATTTTTATTTCGTTTATTTTTTATTTGCCTTATGCACTAAGTAAAACAATATTGCGATGTAAACTTATATATTAATATAAAATTTTACTCAAATGTTAACGAATATGTTAAGTTTCTTTACTTTTCTTGGTAAGTGTATATGCAACAATTTGTGCATAAAGATCTGTCTAATAATTTTACTTTAATCTACCGACAAGATTTCGCAGTTCCTCATTAATTGGCAAGATTTTGTTCTACGATCACGTTATTCATGAACTGCTCTTGCAAACAGCAATTGCACATAATTCAGGTTTCCCACGCTCATAAATCCTGCACCGAAGTCATCCAGAACTGCAGGTGTTCGGAATGAACGTGGTTATCGATATTCGCAGCATAAGTTTTTGCGCGGAAACATGCCGCGCTCTTGGGGATACACACAAGTGCCATAAGAGTGCTTTTAAAATCACAGTTTGCAGACGAAATTAGCCGGATGCGTTGCGAGTGTGCCTTAGAAGCCTGCTATATAATTTGCCGTTTATCGGTATAAAATTCATCAAACGAAGCAAAAAAAAGGCCGAAAGAAAAATGCTACTTCATGCTTTCTCCGTTTTATCTTCGGCTTCCAGTAAGATGAAGCAGCTCAGAACTTGCGCAATATACATGTATAGTGAAAGTACCAACGCAACTTTCTATGCGAATAAGTAAGTTTTGTAAAGACCAATTTGTCCGTCGCGTAACGTGGCAGTCGTCGATTTTCATGAGCGATGTTCATGAATAGGGCGCTCGATTCTATCGAATTTTCGGATGTATACCCCATTTATTATGCTTGTATCGCGCGTCGATCGAGAACGAAACGGGATTCCTACGGAAAGCTTTGATTTATGAGCATGGTCGACGACTATGCGATTTATACGGAGTCGACGTCGAGAGGAGTTGCGCGCTGCTTCTTGTAATTGGGAATATTGTGAAGCAAATGACGCGTGCTCGATGCTATAAAAGTTGGAAACTGTATCTCGTCGTTTCAATTTTTATTGTCAAATGATTTTCCGAGGAAATAAATGTGACATGTTACGGTAGATTTGGTTTTAGTACCGATTAAGGTAAAGTATCATTGTTATAAAACAAGAAAAGTTGCCATGGGAACAATTACGTATTCGGTAAACATCATTTTTCTAGAGAATAAGTATGGTGTATAATTTTGTTTTTGGTTATCATTGCTATAAAAGTTGGAAACTGTATCTCGCCGTTTCAATTTTTATTGTCAAATGATTTTCCGGGGAAATAAATATGACATGTTACGGTAGATTTGGTTTCAGTACTGATTAAGGTAAAGTATCATTGTTATAAAACAAGAAAAGTTGCCATGGGAACAATTATGTATTCGGTAAACATTATTTTTCTAGGGAATAAGTATGATGCATGATTTTGTTTTTAGTTATCATTAAAGAGCATTTCTTCTTAATTACAAAAGAGTTGATACTGTTACAAGTCAAAGAATTATTTATTAAATGAACATGATTTCTCTCTAGGAAACGAATACAATGCATTATAATCTCGATTCCGTTGTCGATTAAGAAGCATTTTCCTTATTTTAAAAGAATAAAATAGGCAATTAAAAATTGTTTGCTCGTCGAACGTTATTTTTCTAAAAGTCAAATACAATGCATTATAATTTTGCTTTTATTTTCAATTAAGAAACAAATTGTTCATTATAAAAGAATAGAGTTACTGTTAACTGAATGAATATTTTATTTATACAATTCAAATACATAGAACGCAAAACAGCAGTAATTCGTGAATGGATGCAGAGGAAGGTTCGTCATATTCATTCAATGCGGAAAATGTTGACATTTTTCTGACAAGAGTTCATTACACGTGTAGCATTTTAGGTAGTTTATTCGAATCAATTGATCGAGAGTGTGGGCATGTGTGTTGAACAAGCTCACTGCGGTCGTAGTAATTTAGCGTTTCCGACAATTTGAGGATACGTGACCGACGTCACAATTGGCTTTGTTGCTTGTTTCGCGTTTCATACGTTCCATCTTGGATATGTAATTAATTTATTGCAATGCGCGAGCATCTGTTAATCACCAGCAAATTTAGTCTACATGCTCGGTCAAACGTTATATATTAATGTCAAATATTTATATTATGCCAAAGATAACTGTGCAATATACATCGTAAATGTAAAAAGAAAATTGAAAAATTATTATTTTTGTTGTTGCTAATAGCTCTGGTTCTAACACGTTTATGCATTGCATATTACTATTTACAACGTAACTATTTAATTCATAATCAAAGTTCTAAACATTTTCAATGTGGTGACAAATATTTCATTGAAATTCACAGGTTCGAGCATCTTCTCGCTAGAACTACCAAATTAATCAGAATTGCTGGTTTCCGAGTTCTTCTTTTATAGTTGCGGAAATTAAAAAAATTTGTCCACGTAATTTAATAAACTTCGATTGTCATTGTTCTGAAACAATATACGGTAACGACGTCCAGAGCCTAGATAGTTCTAGTTTTAAGCCAGTCATATGATCTTGGTAAACATAAATCTTACGAGAAACTTCAATTTTTGGAAGTTAAGGTCAACGAAGTAACAGAATTGAGATAAAAAAAGTTAATAAACGAGAGCTTTTTATTTTTGTTTGTCATTTCAAGTAACAGCAAAATTACAAAAGGTATTTCAATCATTTTAGAATGCATTTATAAAAACTGTAAATCGTCTAGTTCGGTTTAGTTAAGTTTTCAAGAAGTTATTCCGATTTAAAAGGTGTTCGAATACTTTTAGTCCGAGGGGGTGGGGGGATTTAGCCGCCGCAATTGGAAGAAATATTCGGATGGCCTTCTCTCGGCTGAAGCACATCGCGCAAAGTGTAACCAACTCTGTATTTCTTTGGAAACCCCGGCAAGGTTGGCCCAATTCCTCGGCAAAGGATTCGCGAAGGAATCCGCGTTGGTTCCCACGGGGGTATCTGTTGGACAAGGGGTTAAAGAACAACGGAGGAGACAGGATTACGCGACGTCGAAGGTTCGAGCCTGGCTAAAGTAACGAGGCTCGTGCCGTCGCACGTGGCCTAACCCTGTCGAACTGGTATTTGTCTCGACGCGGTGTCCGTTTACAGGAAGCGAGCCATTTACCGTTTTCACCGTAGTGTCACTTACAGCCGTCTGGTTTCCTTGTCACGTGCCGCAGGGAAGCGGAAGAGCGCGGTGGAGCTGCTCCAGGAGACGAAGGCGTTCTACGTGAAGAGCGAGACCGTACTGGACCGGAAGCAGGAGCTGAAGAACAGCGGTCATCTTCAGGTGTCGCAGCTGAGCGCGCCCGGTGCGCCGCCCAGGTTGCTCAGGAAATGCGGGACCGCGCCGACGTGTTCCATGCAGCCGACGTCCCCGTCGCAGCTACCGGCTGCTCAGCTGACGCCACCCTGTTGCTGGGCATCCTGCCACGAACAGGACAGGCGTAAGTCTACCGAGAAACTTTCGATGCACCTCCGACCGGCTAATCGATTTAACTACGGGCATTTCAGCGCGCCAAGCCGCGAGCCGCTCTTCCATTCCATTGCCGGCGCGCGGGCAACTTGCCATTCACGGCGTCGCTTTAATTGGCCGTTTAAAGCGCTTTCTAAAGATTCCGCGGGTCCATTTTCTTCGTACATACTGTTGCGACGGAATGCTGGCGCAGGCTCGGCGCGTCGATTTTTTTTCGTAATCTTCGAGGATTTTGCGGTTAACTTTTACGCCTAGTATAATAATAAACCATTCGAGCGACGATGATTTGCGGCCGTTTTTTTAATAATTGAAAACGTTGATGAAACTTTTCGACACTTTTCATGCTTATTCTTCGACACTTCAGGATACAAAAATTCGTTTCCGTCACGTTTCATCGACGTTTGTGAAATAGTAAATATTGTTCTCCCCCTACACAACGCTGTTTAGCATTTTTTTTCTTCGATCTAGAACGAAATTTGAACCGGAGTTTTTTTCATAATAAAATACGCATCGTATGAACCTGCTCGATTTATATCATGCTATATTCGTTGCATAATTGAACTGAAAATTTTACGCACATATCACTTCTTTCATCATTTTCTCGCATTTTTTTAAAAACAGGATTTCGATCATGTGACAGAAAGCTTCCTACATTCGACTGTAACATTCCATCAGAAAATTTGGACGTATGATAGTCTCAGAAGTACGTCACAAGGATGTAGAACTAAAAATAGGAGCAAGTTCCGGGAAACCATGATGCCTGGCCACTTTAATTTGGGGGCTAGAGCGAGGTACATCGAGGATTAGGGTCCAAGGACTTAACAGGATGCAAAGCGTATACATTCTCGAGGCAAAGGACGAGGGAGCGGTCTTGGAATTAATGGAGGGAGTAGCAGACATAAACCGTCTTAGAGTTCGATGATTATGCGAGACGTACGCATTAATAGCTTCCCGCGGATTAAATGATAGTACGTTTTCACTGAATTCATTGCGGTCAGCGGTTGTGGTATTCTTCGCAGCATGGTTTCGTCGCTTCGGTCACGCGTCAGGAAACGACCGACTCGTTTGCTAGTCAGCGGTTTTGTTTCGCGCAGGTGTAAAATCAGATCGTAAAGCATATTTCGCTGTGTCCGTCAACGTCAACGATCGGAAATTCTCGTATTTTTTTTTACACGGCAAGCTTTTAAATCCTGTCGAACGGGAGGTCAAATTTTACCGCATCATTTCGTTCACCGTTTTTCCAACTTTTTGTCGCTGCGACCTTCGTTTTACAACAAGTCGAGACGCCGTTTTCGCGAAATAGTTGCGACAAGGTTTCAATGAATTTGTCGTAAAATTATGAAAAGCATTCTTTTTATTGGGTTGGCAACTAAGTAATTGCCGATTTGTTCAATGAAATACAAAATTTTTTTTTACTTGGAATGAAGTTTAATCTGTAATGTATAGATGTGTATAAGAGACAGGTTCAATGAAATAAAAAATTTTTTTTTACTTGGAATGAAGTTTAATCTGTAATGTATAGATGTGTATAAGAGACAGGTTCAATGAAATAAAAAATTTTTTTTTACTTGGAATGAAGTTTAATCTGTAATGTATAGATGTGTATAAGAGACAGGTTCAATGAAATAAAAAATTTTTTTTTACTTGGAATGAAGTTTAATCTGTAATGTATAGATGTGTATAAGAGACAGGTTCAATGAAATAAAAAATTTTTTTTTACTTGGAATGAAGTTTAATCTGTAATGTATAGATGTGTATAAGAGACAGCTTGAAAATTCCACGCTCGTAGAAAGTCTGATCCTTTTCGGCCAAAAACTGAGTTAAGTGAGATTTTACAGCGTCATCATCATTAAAAGTTTTACCACGAAGGGAGTTGTCCAGGGATCGGAATAAGTGGTAATCCGATGGCGCAAGGTCAGGGCTATATGGTGGGTGTAACATCAATTCCCAACCAATATCCATCAATTTTTGCCGAGTGGACAAAGACGTGTGCGGCCTAGCATTGTCCTGGTGGAAAATGACACCTTTACGATTGACCAATTCTGGTCGCTTTTCCTTGACCGCTGCATTCAATTTGTCCAGTTGCTAACATTCACGGATAATAAAAAATAACATAATAATAATAATATTAATAATAATAGTTTTATAATATAACATTTACGGATATCATAAAAATAGGAATGAGAGACATCTATAACTGAAATCGGCAATTACTTAGTTGCCAACCCAATACGAATATTAATTTGTAGACGCGAGGTACGGACGAGGGCTGAAACGCGTTAAATTAAATTGCAACAAGCGTGGGCGGTTCTTCGAAACGTTTTGATGAAAGTGGAGCATTAAAGCTCCTCCAGGACACGGAAGGTTAAAATTCTTCGAGCCGGATAACTCGCCACAACCACATTTCTCTGGTTTGGTAACCGAGCCACGTTTGTGTATCGCTTTCTGCTCTAAAGTAATTACAACTGGCGTGATACACGATATCCCTACATCTAGACGTGTTACTTCCGAATGGTTGCTCTAATCGAATAGCTTATTTCGACGTTGTCGCGTCGTGTAAGAGTTCGTTTCATTATAGTCAACGTTTCCGTGATCGTTGACACGGAAATGGTACGCCTTATCGTCAGCTGGAAACTATCGATACGCGACTGATACTTTTTACATACTAGAATCGGTCACCGTATCTGGAGAACCGTAGAAGTCGGTTGCATGAACTTATTTTATACTTGCGCGACGATATGGATTTCAAATGTGACCTGTAGAGCCTCGATCTATTACAATGACTTTTATCAACTTTTTTTATATCTCTCTTAAAAACTTATTTAAATTCATGGTAAATTTATGGTAATTGATATTATATATATTATATGGTAATATAATATATAAATATATATAAATTATATATATAATTATAATTATATATATATAAATTATATGGTAATTTATGGTAAAATTGGTTGGTTACAATTTCAGATAGTGTAAAAAATTAAAAGCATTTTAAAACGTCATTGTATTATTTTGAAGAATAAGGTTGCTACTCGGTTTCTGTTTCCTGCAATTGATGCAGACTATTTTTATTTTGCATAAAAATCTGCTTATGACTCCAGAATATCAGTTCAGGGTTAAATTCGGATAAACTAGAAAAGTTTTCAACCAGAGACATTTTTTACTTCGAGAACAATTTAAATTAGCGTTAAATGCAAAGGTTCGACGAACAAAAGAGACTAGTGTAAAAAAATAAGAGTTCTTTATTATTTGTTACGCACCGAGTAAAAAGTATATATCGCATCCGGAATATCAAATAAAACGTCTATCTAGCCGGAAACTGTTACGCCTCAGTCAACCTGTTAAGTCCAGAAGTGCCGGGCAGTCACGCTTGCTCGTTTTTAATTTCATAGAAAAGCTGCAAGAGCATAGTTACTGAAGCTTGAACAACCTCCATGAAACGAGCTGAAATAAATGAATTTATTTAGTAATCTCCTGCAGAAACGCATTTACGTTTCCAGTAATAAGGAAGTAAAAGATTTGAAACCAGTAATTTCAATGATTATAGTGCTGGGAACGTGTTTCTGGAACTGATTTGCGTTTTGTTCGACAGCGGACGGAATTCTGAATCCTCAACAAACACTGCCACCCGCGCTGCCACCGAAGAGTCCACGCCTGGTTCCCGTTCCGCAGCGGCGCACGATTTCAGGGCCACCGAGCAGTACCGGTGGAGATCAGCTGCAGACGAAATTACGTCGGCTGCTAAATACCGACAGCAAGGAGAATGTGTTTTTTCCGGACAGCCCGGCGCAGTCCGTCATGCAGGCGAACGGTGTACCGCAAGAGGAGAAATTCCGGTACTCGCCAGGAAGCTTGTCGCCGAATTTTCGTGACGAAGACCGTGGAAAGGTGTGCAGGCTTCATACAAAAATATTCACTGTTCTACTATAGGGTGAAGATGCCTAATATGAAAGCCATCTTTTTTTTTAATTATAATTTACAATTAAAAACACTTTTACTAAAAGTAGATACACGTTTAAAAATGAAAATATTAGGACATCTCTTCGTATTAGGCAAATTTATTCTACACCATTAGCAACCGCTGTTAGAAATAGAGTAGAGATAGTAACTAAATACATGTAAGAACACAGAATGTGAGAACTAGAGAAAGAAAATTAGCCACCAAATCTTCCTTGTTACACAAAATTATTTACAATATACAAACAGAAATGTTGTCATATAAAATTGCAACTGAACAACCATGTCTTCTAAGCGAATATCAATCGGAGAATTTCATTTGAACTCTTTACAGTCCACAGTGTTTCCTCTCTTTTATATCAGAATTTTTTATAATATTGTATAATTCAATCAAATTCAAATATGCGACTTTATACAATCTATGTAAAACACTTAAGAAATACTAATTTCTTGAGACATTGTCCATGAGTAATGAGTAAGTAATTATTATGGCAACGAACAATATCCACTCTGGTTTGAAATAGGTCTGCAAATAGTTGGATTACAATGCAGAGAAGTTGAGAGATGCAATTTCGGCATAAAAAGTTTCTTTGATATTATCCAAATTGCATGTAGAATATGTCTTATATGTATAATTACAACTGGAGAAGACGTGTAACACCTTTACATGGATAACCCTGTATATAATTCTTGCTTTGACTTGATCAAAATATCTTGTATAGAATTACAACTGACAATATGAGACAACTTGAACAAGAAATAAATACTTTAGATAGTATGATCTAAAGTAGTATGATCTCCAGATTCATAAAAATGTGCACCTCGACCGGACGAAGTGATCCAAGCATGATTTGTAAAATCACTCAATTTCACACGCTTCTCATAAAGGTACCATTTATTCGTGTCAAGTCAGTCTTTAATAGACTATTAGAATAAATACTTTTTAATTTTTGTAACGATAATTCGCAGCGTGATTGCAGTTTTATCGACTCCTAAAATTAAGAGAGATAATATCGCCCGTTCTTGTTGCTAATTTTACAAAGTGTTTGCGCACATTACATTCTCGTGCATTGCACACATACTCGTACTCATGGCCAATGAATAGTAACTATCGAAGAGACACGAGAGAGGAAGTGCAGTTAGGAACCGGATGTTGTAGATACACGCGTTCGCGAGTAGAACACGGAAGCCATAACATATTCCTTCACTGTGTCAGACACGTGTTTAGCATAATCGATAGAATCGCCACAAAACGTGTAATGGCCACTTTAATAAATCTACCTCTCGAATCTAAATTTACGGAAGACATACTTCCTCGTATGTGCCAGCGTTAGCCTTGTAACAGTTTCGGCACTTGCAGGGTCGCTTAAAGTAGCATAAAAACTAATACAATTTATTGCTCCGCATTTCCGTGATCGATGCAAAATCAATATCATTTTCCCACTATCTACTACACTGAATTAAAGAACTGGAACACAGCATACATAATATTTCTTAGACATTCTGGACAATACGTTTTGAAAGATTCTTTTTGGAAGTTTAGCTTCCTGATTAGTATCTATAATGTCTGACATTAGAATGTCAATAAAATACGGTACAATATCATTAATAGCGTTAAAAAAATTTGACGTCCCATTAAAAGAAGAATGTAACTGCATCAATATGCTTCTGTAAAAATCAGACTGTTCAATCGTAGAGCATTTATTGACTGCGGATTTTTTAATGCATTTATGGCGAAAGTGGGTAGATGAAATATAGAACTATAAGATGAGTCAAAGAATTTCAGAATGTCGAAGTATTATTCTTAATTTCTTAAGATTGATAGAGAAAGAAAGAAACTTCTAACTGACTACTGCTTCTTACAATTGATATTGATTTATTTTGCATAAAGATTCGCAGTCTAATAATTATTTTCTATCTGCAATGAAAGTAGAATTATAGCTAAGTGACTAAAATAAGATGGTATAATGTATTTTGAACAATCTATTTTGATGTTTTCGTAGCATTGTTTACAACAAGACGCCCGCTTCAAATTCGGTCGGAGTAATTCACACTCGCACACTTCCGGTCGGGCCGGAAGAAAGTCCGCCAGCTCGCCGTCGGTGGACACAACGGTTTGTCACAAATCTTTGCCCGACCTTCACACGAGCACACGACGAAGAGCGTCCCTGTCGCCTCGTGCATCGACGAAATCGACCAAGCCATCGGGGCACCATCAATCTTCGAACAATTGCCCGGATTGTGAAACTAGTTCAGATTATTCGGAGCACAGTTTCAAGCGGGACGCTGTCTGCTACCGAAGGTATCCCGACACATTATCGCACATATTTTCGACGGATTAATCTATGAAAGATTCACATAAATTAGATAACGTTCGCGTCATCTCAGAGTTGTGTAGCTATTGATTATTCTGTGACTGTTTTCGTAATTGATTATGAAAAGTAATCATAATCACTAATCAGGTCCCCAGATTAAATCAGTTATGAATTAATAAAATCTATCTGGATTACATTTGGTAATCTGTGACAATAGTAATATATAATTTCAAAAAATTATTCAGTATCAAATAATAAGTATTAAAAAGATATAAAAAAGGAAAATGTTTTCTATTCTCTATGATGAACGCGGTGGTGTTTTTTAATTCATTATATTTGTCATATATATATTTCAATATATATTTGACAAACTGCTGCCTATTTCAATTTTTTCTGGCACTATTTAGTCAATGTTCGGTAACTATGACGTACACACTATGTATAATAACAAATTTATAGGTCAATCATGATCGTAAATTATGATCATTTCATAATGAATGATTATTGTTTTGAATATACTGATTGATTACATTTTCTTTGATTACCTCAGTTATTCATTAATTACGTTTGCCAGATTACTTAGTGATCGTAGTCATTAATCATATATAACTTATAATTACGTATAACGAAAAATAAATACGGCTACTTAATCAAGTATTATATAATTAATTCCATAGAGTACGTTAAAAAGTTTCATCTACGATCATTATCAGTAGATTACAAATGTTTACGCAATGTTATGCCGCAAACTAAATACTTTTTTCGCTATATTTCTTGTTAACAAAGAAGACGTTTCCAACTATTTTTTTCCATCCACTCAGACAGTCCAGTTTTCCCAGAGTTGCTGATGCAAGGACTCAAATTATAATTAAGTGTAAATTGCATTATATACGGACTAATTGGTGGAAACAATAAATTATCTCGTTTGCAACAAGTTTCGTCGTAATAGAAGTGAAATGAAAACTTGATTATACGATAACAAAACTTGTAATTTAGTGTTCGTATGTTCACAGTTTAGTTGGGGCACGCCGAGAATATTTGTCCACAACGAGCGTTCAATTTTAGATTGCTTTGCGCTTAAAGGGTTCATTAACGTGTATAATGCAGGAATTTATTTCTAGAGTTATGAAGTCTTCGATGTTGAATTGGAACAGAGAAACTGTCCAACGCAAATAGAATTGAGACAGTCCATACAATCCTGAGAGGAGCCTGAGAGTCTTCACACCCTATATTTCCGTCTGTTCTTCTGTCGCACTGCTCGAGACACGACTGCTTTAGCTTTCATTCGATTTTACGACCTCACTACATATAGCTTTGACATTGAAACTACACAGAGCTTCAATAATTTCTGTCAATGTGACAATATGCCGACGAGTTATTGCGCTATAAAAATCGTTGGAACTCTGGGTGTGTTCTTTTGTTTGGAGACATGTGAATTTTAGATCTTCCGACGCTTCACGTTGGAAAACAATTACATAAGACTTTCATTGTTAAACATAAAATGTTCACTGAACGATAACATGATTTTGTAGCCTGAAAAGATCGCTAATAAAAATATTAACATATTAATCTTAGTATTTAAAATAGGTTTTGGAATTTATCAGAGTCTAAACAAAACCGACAAATTCTAGTATAACACATTTAAAATAAAATATAAACATTTAGTCATAAATAATGTATTTTAGTTCCAGGCACATTCGACGTTCGTTAGGTTCCGGTGGTGGCGACGCGAGTAGCGTACTATCATCTGGAGGTCGTACGCAAAAATCATCAGGGTCCAGCAAATTAAGTCATGGAGCGACTGCGAGGGATTCCGGAGGATCATCCGGACATTGTACTCATCGCAGTGAACCGCCGCCAATAATACAAGTACACTCAAAATACAAACAAGGTCGTGTCGACGATTGAAGCATAGAGACACTTGTATCAGAGTACTAGATTGAAAAGAGCACTGAAATGGCAGAAAGTCTCCCATTGAAAAAATATCAATCTTTTTGTAGTAGATGATATCTTTCTAAGGACGATGTAAGTGTACTCTGTTTCAGGTGATACACACTGCTCGACACGGCCCTAAGTAAAAATTTACTACGTTATCCATGATAGAAACAAATAATGACCATAATATTTTTCCAGGACTGTTGGAGTCATATACGTCGAGACAGTGGTGCATCTACTCAACACTCGACGGAGAAAGAACGCTCGAGAAAAGGTAGTTACGCTAACGGTACACCACTTTCTGTTGTGAGACACTATAGTCCTGACTCCGAAAGTAGCAACAGTCAAACGGATTATAGTCCGACGTGCAATTCGAGGTATGCATAAACACGATTAGTCTATATTTGTTGATACGTTCGAAATTGTATTATTTTGTACTGTCGATATTTTAAAGTGACTCAACTTTAACACTTTCTCTGCCGGGAGCTTATTAACAGATTCTTGAATAGTAACGCTGTATCTAAAAGAAGATTATAATTTCCTTTTTACTAATAATCTCAAGTGAAATTATTAGGCTATGTTGAGTGGTTGGTCTATGGATGAGATTCAGTAGAGACGAATAATGCGACTTTGACTATAATGCATTGATTAGAACAATTTGTGAAGAATGCAGAAAATGAATGTCTTAATGTTTCTATCAGATTTTCCGACGGCTGGAAAGAAGGTCGAGGTCGACCAATTCTGAGATCGAAGTCGGACATCAGTGATCGTTATTGGCGTCAAGATAACGGTCGATCCAACAAAGTACCTGCTCGGCCTCCTCGGTCGATTACTCAGCTCGAGAACTTTTTTGACCGTTTGGGTCTAGATTCGGAGAATTATCAGCGTATCACGGAACCAGACTCAAAGACATCGTCTCCGGTATTTTTTGATAGCGTTAGTTCCGTCGACTCGGCGTTAGGTCTTTATTCGTGGGTTGGTAATAACCAGACAAATCAGAGTGGTCAATGGCAGAACAATAATTGTAGCGTTGGCATGGGCAACGACGATTGCAATCAGCGAGTTAGTGATCCGCCGAGCATCGTTGAACGCAACGCTCGAATCATTAAATGGCTCTGTCAGTGCCGAAAAGTGCAGTTTGGGTATAGTTAAACAACGAGTTTGCGAAACGGACAATCTATCCTCCGGACTCGGTAGCGTGCATTCCAGTCGACGAATGTTTAGAGGATTTTCATCTTGCCAACGATAGTTTTGATGCGTCGCAAAAAAACTATGCCTTACATTTATCATTTCACTAGCGAAGGATAGTAACGTTGATAACATTTTTCTCTTGCTTCGTTGAGTTACTGATGCTACACAGGTTAGCATCCTTAATTTATGGTTTCCTAATTGCAAGAAGAACATGTGCCATTTACTTTATCAATTGTTTGTTATGCATTTCTGTTGTGTCTTTAATTTTAAATTGTCACTATTGATTTTAGGGTGAAATCAATTGTTTTTTGTCGGTATGTTCTTGTCAAAATTTGTACATAGATCTAACGGACAGTGAGAACTGTCTGATATTTTACAGTCATGTAAAAGTTTTACCTGTTTGAACAGTTTTGTTTCCTAGGGAGTAAATTTATTGTATATTAGTTACGTTAATGTTACAACGAGTTTATGATACATGAAATGAATGCGCTCCGCGTTTGTGGTTTATTGATCATGGAGAAGGTTATGTATAAAGAAACTGAATTTTATTAGAATGTTTTACTTTAAGATAATTGCGGCATATTGAATTATATATTAGTCATTGCTGAATTTCGATATTCTAAATTGCATTGTGAAGATGCCTTTAAAATACATGGTACTTGTATGTTTTTTATGTTAAGGAAAAAGTTGCTCTTTCATTGCTGGAGCCAGACATTTCAAAGTTTCATTTCGTTAAGTGATCAAAGTAATTTGAAACTGAATATTAACTCACGATGCATTACAACTTTTTCTGGTTCAGTAGGAATTGATATCATAGCGTTACAGTTGTTCTGAAAGTCAAAGATTTGTTTAACAATGCAAAGTAACTTACTGTGTTTAAAATAGAATTCTTAACGTAGTAGCATTAGTCCCGTTTCATTAATGTTTCTCCTCTTTCTCAATGAATCTATTAAAACTTGTATTGATCTGTATTTTAGAAATGCAAACACCGCTGGTACAAAAGAACGAATGTGATTTACCGAATTTTGAAGAATTTTTCTGTGTAAGAATGTTTGCAAATGGAATTTGTATAAGGGATTTGAAGGAGTTTTCATGTTGGTGTTTTTATACCTTATAAATCTTGTTAGATGCAGTTGCGTTCAATTGTTGCAAAATTATTTTGGATTCGATACGTTTGAAAATTCATACGATATTGCTACTTGTGCTTTCTATTAAGAAATATTTACTTGATGCCTTTATTAACTTTAAGCTGTTTTACAAATTCGAGAAATGATGTAACTCAACCGACTCATATATCGGAAAGTGTTCTTATATTTTCGATATTTTATTCATTCTAAATGTCTACTTTGTGCCTAAAGAGTTAGAAAAGAATTTTATTTTAGTAGGAAATTACT